AGAGCCCCGCAGCACGGCTCTGATATGCCCACTCCTGTGCGTTTATTCATTGCCGAGCTCTCAGCACACTGAGGCTTGTAGACGGCGTGGCTGACGCTAAGTGCACGGTGCTACCGGGCATCATCATGTTTGTTGCATGTGCTTCACTTTGTTTCGTGTGGTGGCCGCAGATGCGCGTAAAAGGTGGCATTACACCTAATCTGAGCCTGCATTTTGCATCCACCTCGCCGGGTGGCGGGGGCCCACCCATTCCTTTCACCAGCGTTATCTGATTTCTGTGGTCCCCACAGCAGGCAAATCTGACTGCCTTGTCAATCCGTCTTTGAACTCACTCCAGTGTTTCAGGCAGTCTTGCGGCCTCTCCCTGAGCACTAAAATATCTAAGAGAATGATACACTCTTCTCTGGACTCAGACAACGCTGCTAAACGACATGGCCACAAAGCCCTCAGACATTTAGAGTGCAACTCACTTTTCAAAGGACTTCGGTGGGGGGGAGGAACATAACCTAGAAAACAATATTCATGGGAAAGCTACATTCATTTCCTTCCTCCTGTGATCCTCTCAAATAATAGGAAGTGATGAGGAATCAATTGAGAATTCTGAGTTCTCTTGGGAAAAAATTTAAACAACCCTCAAAGAGCTCTCAAAATACATGTAGTCAGGAAACCACACAAGCACATCCAAGTCCCTGGAAGTCATCGTGGTATCTGAAAAAAATTACTACCTTTGGTGACCTGTGGAAACCTGCAGAGTTATTCTACTACATTTTAGTTACTTAACCAACAATAGCATTTACAATGTGCCAGACACTTCCACATTTAAAATATCTATTTTAATCCTCACAGCAACCCAATGAGATAGGTCCTTGATAGAGAAGGAAACTGAGTCACACGGAGAGGAAGTCACTGCCCACAGCGGCAGGAGCAGTATTCAAACCCAGAAACACCGTCTCCAGACTCTCTGCTCTTAAGTATTTTTTTTTTTTTTTTTTTTTTTAACTTTTCTGAAACAACTAACCAATTAAGTGAGCCTTACCTTAAAGAGTTGTCCTGGACCAACATCAAAGTCATCACTTGGGATCTTGCTCAGAAGGGCAAACTCTCAGGCCCTACCCATACTACTGAACCAGCAAGTACATTTTAACAGCATCCCCAGGGTATGTGTACATGCACGTTGAAATATTATCATTTCACCATTATACCAATATGAGAAATTAGTTTGGTAGTGTACATTCTTTTTCCATAGTAAGTCTTCACAGCCTAGCGTGCATTTTATACTTATGTGCTGTCTCAGTTTGCTAAGGGCTCAGTTGCACCATGAACCTGCCATATTGGACAACCGAGTCCTACACTTACACAGTGATAACAGCGCGAGCTTTTACTGAGTGCCTGCTATGTGTCAGGCATTACTTAGCCAAGCAGCTTGTGCGTATTACTTACAGGAGCCCTACCACAGCTCTGTGGATTGGCACTGTTATTACCCCCACTCTATACAGAGGAGGGGTTATGCCCAAAGCCCTATGTAGTGTTTCACCAATATAAGAAGCCCACTCTAATATAAGCATTTCCCAATTATTTTAAATCATTTTGTTTGTAAAAAAGAGAGAATGAAAGAATATAAATAAACAAAATCATTAACATTACTACAATTAGTACAATTTTTAAGGCATCAGTAGCTTACAAAAGGCATAGTAGTTGAGTAAGTAGGGAAGTCCAAATTTACTATCCTCTATCCTTTTAAGATATGCCTAAAGTCCAACATGTACTTTTTTGTGACATCAAATCTGTTGAAAGGTGCTTATTGACAGGCTGGTTGATCAATAGGGTCCTTGGGGAACAAAGAAGACCTTGGGTGAGTCACATGGGAGGATAAGATTTATTCTAAATGGAAGCAGCTAGCAGGGTCATAAGCTGTTCAAGTGCAGATTTTTATACAAAACGACTTTAATAAGAAAATCATGCACCACATAATGACATGTAGGTCAATGATAGACCACATATATAATGGTGGTCCCATAAGATTACAATGCAGCTGAAAAATTCCTATCGCCCAACGAAGTCACAGCCTTCATAATGTCATAGGGACACACTGATGTGTTTGCAGCGATGGTGTAGACAGACCTACTGTGCTGCCACTCGTCTAAAAGCGTAGCACATACAATTATGTATAGTACATAATAGTTGATAATAATAAATGACTATGTTTCTGGTTTCTGTATTTACTATACTATCCACTTTATTGTTATTTTAGAGTGTACTCTTTCTACTCATACCAAAAAAAAAGTTTACTGTTGTTAAAAAACAAATTTCAACTGAGTAGATGTAAAGGTCTAAGTGACTTTATTAAGTGATTTATAAATCGGGCAACATCCCATCTAGCAACTAGAAAGGGCTCTGGGGCTGGTGCAAAATGGAAGGGTTTTATGGGAAGAAGGGCAGGGCAAGGGAACTATCTAAAAAAAAGAAATTATTATTTTGGGGCAAGGACACCTTTTCTTTGGGAGAAGAGAGGGGAAGGGTTTTTATCATGCAGATTATCTCTCCTTTCTAAGGGAGGTGGAGAAGGTCCATGTGACAGATTACCTTACTGGTGCTTGACCAGGAAATTCCAGACTGGTTGATTAAGATTCCTTTTCTGGGAGAGGTTAAAACTGCAGTTAGATCAGGTATTAAATCTAGGTTTGGTATCCTGGGCTTTTATCGGGAGTGATGCCATTTTGGGGCTGTGATTTTTCTTTAACGCTGTAAAACAGTGTGCCATGTTAATAGGCAGTAGCCTCCGACATCTCCTGTATTTACTGCATCTCTTGATAGCATCATTTTTCTCTTGTGCTTGATTTAATCTCAGTTGTTTTGTACAATAACCTGCTGTACAAGTCTGTAGCCTAGGAGCAAACAGCCTAGGTGATTAGTAGGCTATTCCATCTAGGTTTGGATAAGTACACTCTGTGATGTTCGAACAACAACAGAATCGCCTAATGACATTTCTCAGAACATATCCCCATAGGATTGTGGTTAAATGTAAGGCAGTGTATTGATGAGCAAAATAGGCAGTTTGGAATTTAAAAATAATGGTTGACTTAGTAGTTAAATAGTTTTTCTTTATTAGTTTCCTTAATTTCCATATTTTCTCAAGGAAGGCCAATTTTTAAATGTGTTTTCTTTTTTTATTGTAAACTACTATAAGGAAGAAGTAAAAACAATTAAAAATTTTCTGAGACTAGGTTTCCATTTTTTTGTCAGAATTACCATTTATCATTTTGACCAAGTATGTAAATATCCTAGTTTAAACTGACAGATATTTAAGACATATTAAAATGTGACCAGATAAAATAAATGAACAGAAAAAATGCATTATTCTACAGAGATTTTTTTAAAACCCTGCTATATATATATTTAAACAAAGTTAATCTTATTTTAAAAGTTTGATTAGATATTTCCAGATTAAGTTGTAGTTTTTTATATTTAAATATCTGCATAGATTTAATATAAGTGTATTACACTGAAGGATTTCACTCTTTTACCATAGAATTTGAAATAGCAATCATATCTTTTTTTTTTTTTTAACATATCATGCATAATCCTCAGTATTTTCTATAATCAGTTTCAGTGTCTTTCTTTACTTGCAAGGACAGAATCGGATTCGATCTAAGCGTCTGGTCACCAACCGTCATATTAACTATCAACTGTATCATGGTGGTTTTTACACTGCACTAAGATCATAGACTCTTTCATTCTCCTTTCACCTCTCAGCAGAACTCAGAGGCTGCTAAGCCTTCTCTTTGTTATGGGGAGTAGGGAGTTGAAAGGATTCCTGGCTTCATCCACATCGAATAAAGGCTTTTATAAAAATACTTCAGTGTTTCCTTTGCAGGAAGTAACTAACTTTCCTTCTTAGGGGTACAAAACGCAGAATGAAGCAATGGAAGCCAGGTGTTAGTCTGATGACGCATAGCATCTTCCTTCAGTCATCGTATAAAGAGATCTCATCCCCAATTGCTATGGTTTGAATGGTCTCATCATGTGAAAAAAGAAGCTGTAAAAGTTTGTAACAGATCCTGTCTTTATTCTTGCTGCGCCATGTGCTGTAAACCATTGGAAGCAGGGATGCTGTTTATTTTGCCCACTATATTCTCAAAATGCCTGGCATATACTAGGTTAAAAAGTACTTGTTACAAATATTTGCTGAATGAATGAAGGTATGAATGAGTGAGTGAGTGAGTGAATGAATACAACTTGTAAATCTTAATTTATAATTCTAGAAACAAAACGAACGGTCGTAGTTTGCTGGTCACTGTTGGTGACTGAATTATTTCTTCATTGGCCTTTGGAGGGAGAAGGGGGATTGGTGTCTGCATCATGTCACTGAATGGTCCCCAATCTCTGCCAACAGATAAGAAATGTCAACAGCTTAACCAAGTAGCTTTCAAAAATAGCGTACTTGATGAAACTGGAAATTTGGGCGTGTGCTGGAAATAAACCATTTGTCTTCGGTTTTAAGAAGGATCGGCTGACAACAAATATACCTACTAGAAAGATCTAACATATTTTTTAAGACCCATACATCAATGAGCAAGAAAACATCATATTTAAATATTCCCTCTCAATGAGGCATAAACAGAGCATCTCATTTCCAATGACTCAGGTAAATCATTTTGAAAACTTGAGGATTGTGGCAGGACACTCTGTTTCTTTAAGATTCCAGGCAAGTTTTTTTGTTTGTTTTCAATAGGGCAGTTTTCCTCAAAATTCAAATGAGTGTTTGCACAGTCAACCGAGTTGTTGTGGGTTTCCTGGTTGTGCCCTCCCCTCCCCCTCCCCGGTAGGGGATGGGGGTGTGGCGATTGGGACACGATTTTTTCAGCCCTTCAGTCAACTCCCGGCTGCTGTTAATGCTGAAAATAGCTCAAATGCTCTCAGAACGGTAGCACCACCCAGCAGCTGCGAGTCTTTCCCTCTCTTATTTGCCTTCTCTCCTGCCTTTTTTTTCCCCCCTTCAGACACTTGGATTGGACTTAATCTGAAATCTCTGGAGTTCAAGACCTTTTAAAAAGGACTAAATAAACAATCTCTACATGTAAAGGCCACTGACTCCTACTTCCTCTGTTCAGAGCCACTGCTGAGCCCAGCTGCCTGGAGGTAAGATTTTTTATTCTGAAACTATTTCATTGGTTCATGATACATTTATGACTGATGTGTTTTAGATAAATTATGTAGAGTGAAAATAAGCGGGAGCTGGGAACCGTCCCCAGGTGAACGGTGCTCCAGGTCACAGCAGGGGAGCCCGTGCACTGGGCCAGGGGGCTGCGACTTAAACTTTGCCGAAAGCTCTGTCACTCAGGCTGCCCAAAGCTCTGTCACTCACGCTGCCCAGGACTCAGAGCTCCCGGCGCCCCCTCCCAGGCAGCGAGCCAAGGCGGCCTTGGGGGCATCACTGCTTTGTTGTTGAGGCTGCTTACTTATTTCTAACTTTCTAGGGGCTTTTTTTTTTTTTTTTAAGGAAAAAGATGCACCCAGCTGAGTAAAGAAAATCTCTGATAACTGCTCTTTAAGGACAGGGCACGGCTGTTTTATTCTGCCCTCTGATGGGTGGCCGCTTGCGTAGTCCCAGCGAGGACTGCGAGCAGGTCGGGCTGTGCTTCTGAGCGCTCCTGGCCCCGCCGGGCCTCTGCTGGAGGCTCCTTACCCCACCGAGAGTCTGGCAGCAGGTTTCTCTAACGTGACCCCGGGATATTCTGGATCGCTCCTGCGCCTCCCCTCCACCCCTCCGTATGCTTGTGTTGAACATTTTGCCAAGTACTTTGATCTGTGGACTTTAACTTCAAACACAACATTTACTTTGATTGTGGGTATTTACTATGAAGTCTTTTCGCCGAACGCTTTTAAATCATTTCCTTGAAATAACCTCCTGGGCTTTGGTTTTCTTGCACTGACACGTCTTAGGTTTTTCTTATACGGAGACCCCTAACTCAAGGAAAAGGCTGTCTCAGGGCAAGGTTTTCTGACCGCGGAGACTCGGTGACAAATTCTGCTCCCCTGCAGGCAGCAAGGGACAGTGGAGAGTCCGGCTCTGTCAGCCCCTCACTTGATTGCCCTCCTGCCTAAAAAATCACCATGTGCCTCGGGGCCTAACTGCTGCTTTTATAACGTGGACCCAGAAATCCTTGGTATTTAACTGATTCTCGTTTCCAAAAAGGTTTATTGATATCACAGATCACGTGTCAAAAGAAAGCATGCGTTTTAAACATTCAGCGATCTTCTGGGTGACTTTAGAAAAAGAAGAGAAATTAAAAAGAAAGAAAACTTAAAGAAAACTAGGAAAGAAAAAAACCCCCTCTGTAACCAAAAAAGCCTGGTATGCCAGTGAAACTTCTGCTGAATGAGGGATAAAGAATGAAAAAAATGTATTTCCTAAAAGAGGCAAGGGAGCCCTTTCTAGCCATTCATTCAACTTTTCAGTGTTCTCTTCAAAGAAAATTCGCGTGTATGTTACACTTTGTGGCCCTTTTCTTCCCCAGCCCAAGCAGAGAGGAGGGAATTGTCCAAGTGCTCAGCCAGACACTCAGCTTGACCTCCCTGGGAAACTGTCCCCGCCTGTCCTGCGGAAGGTCAGGACTAGAGGGAGCCTGATCCCGTCAGGAGACTAGGTCACAGCCGAGGACTGTGGCTCCTTGGAGCTGACACAGTAGCTCCCTGTACCCCGAACCTCGCTGAGAAGGGAGGAAGCAGGTGCCACAGCACAGGTTTCAGAGGGGAGGAGCTGGGAGAACGCGGCGGGACAGGGTCCTCGGGATTAGGTGCAATGGAATCTCTAGAATTTGGACTCACAGGAAAACTCAGAGATGCTAAGTCCAATTTTTATTTCCAAACCCTGGACATTTAATTGCTCCCCAACCCCCACCCACCTTCAAATCTGCGTTATAAGGAGCAAGCTAATCGTGACATTTCTGTGATGGGACAAAGTTTTAGATCCTCCGGTTATTTTACTGCCTTTGGGGGTCTAGAGTGCTCTCCCCTTAGTACTGCGAAGCCCCGATGTGGCCTCGCTGAGCGCCAATGAATCCAGTGGCACCGGGATGAAAGGGGCCTGGAAGGTGATAGACAGCCATCCCATTCTCCGTTGGGCAAGCCATTGTTTCCTGTGCTGTTGTGGTTTGTTTCTTTGTGTCTCTTCACCCCTTCCTTTTACTCTGAAACTCTGGGTCGTTTGAATGTGAAACTCAAGGTGAAAGCCGGCCAAAGCCACGGGGTTTCGCACAGGTTCCACATGAAAGAAGGATTCTACCCAGCCTTGCTCGAAACTTGGCCCACGTTTGGCCAAAAGTTTCATGAATGTCAGTGAGCCTGGATTTGAAACATAATCCAAAGCCAGGTGACTTCTAGGGACTTTGAGGCTTAACTGTACAAGCATAGAATCTGTCAAACAAGGACATCCCTTATTTCCAGGCCTTCTGTGTGATTTCATGTGTACACACATTTTTTCCAATCAACTCCCATTTGTTCTATGGCATTTGAAAGCCAGGGTCGATCCCTAATATGAATTTTTATAGCTGTGGTATTTAAGCATTGGCAACCACGAGTCTGCATTTTAAATTCCTACACAGCCTGAACCACGGCGGTGTGAACACGTTGGTATAATTCAGCTGAAGGAAGTCCCAGGAGAGTCCTGGAATGTCTTTCTTTGCTTAAATATACCTCTGTGCCCGTGAGGAACAAACAGTAACATTTTGTCCTGGTCTGTCTGCTTGACAGTATGCTTTTTGTTCGCTCTCCAAAGGTGGTGTCAAATATATTGGTGGAAAAAAATAATAAACTTCCAGATTTTTTTTCTCCCTTGCTCAAGTGATATACTCCCAGGGAACATTGTAAGCATTGAAAAGTTCAGTACTCTAAGGCTTGTAATGTATATTGAGCATAAAGGAGTACTCAGCAGAGTCAATTTCCTTCAGAGAAGCCTGGGGGGGGGTGTTTAACAGTCAGCCAGGGCAGGGGTGTGAAGGTGTGTGCGTGCGTGTGGGTGGAGGCAGAGGTAGGTAGAGAGGAAAGGGGATTTGTAAACTTTGTTCAGCAAATCTGTCACATGTAAAACAGAAATAATCAAGCACTGGATCAGAAAACATTCTTTTCTCTTGTTGATCTAAATTTGTGTTGGCTGAATATTGCATTTTTGGGGGTATTATTTTTCTTATCAAGGACACCAAAGATTACATTCTGCTCATTAGGACTCCAGAAATGGCAGATAACCTCCAATGAAAACAGGACAAATGGGAGACCTACGCAGCTGTAAAGGAAGTTGGAAGAGCCAGTCTCAGAAAGAGCTTCACGGTTCTGAGCCCATTAGACATACTAAGCCCAGGAAACTACGAGTTCACACGTCATTTTATTAACTGGAGAGTTTCTGAACTCATTTGAAGAACTGCCATAAAAGTAAATTTGTGACCTCACTAGAGATTTAGTCAGACTGAATTTAGCAAGATTTATAGATATTGATTATAAAATTAAATTGTCGTCAAATTTCATTTTGAAAATTTTGTAGTCACATTTTTGTTTAATAAAGTAGGCTCTTTATTAGAGATACAATTTGCATTTTAGCAGGTGATTTGCAAAATCAATTGATCCCGTACTAAGTAAAGCATTTGAAAAGCTAACAGTGACAAAACTTGTGGGTCCTATATGTAGGGACTGCATTTTAACACTGACTTCCCTATTCATAGTGTAGCATTTATCAATATATCTGATTTTTATATCCCAAAACTAGTACAATGAGCCAAGGAAAGGAAGCTGATCAGAAGGAGGTGCCAGAAAAAAAAACAGGATAAAACATTTCAGGACCATCTCACCAGGAGGTTCTCACTAGACGCATAAAGGTATAAGGTTGAAAAGAGACAGGGTAAAATACCAGGTTGAAAACAAACACCAAACTTGTGCTTTTGCAAATTTCCTTTAAATCATAATATAACCTTCTTCTTTCAAGAATGACTGCATTAGTCATTTAAGGTTGCCAAAATCAGTCCCTGGAACATCTTCTCTTGTGTTTCATTTACTGTCAGAAAAATGGAGTACATGTAACCCTTATCCATTCCTCAAGGATATATTATTAAAAGCTAAATTTATAGATGCATGGCATTTGTGTTCTTAAAAAAAGAAATTAGTATCCGTCTGACTGGGCCATGATGACACAAAATAAAGTTCTCCCCTGACCAAAGAGGATTATTTTCCTGAAACAGATGAATGGTCATTTCCAGAAAGTCATCATTCTCCAGCTAAACTTTTATTTATTGTTTAGATTCCATCATTTTCTCCAAAATAAAAAGTAATACTTAAAATAATGTTTTAATAATTACAATGCCAAAACAACGCAATGATCCTAAAGCATTGTCTCACCTATTCAAGGTGGACTGTCAAAAAGACATGGGCATTTCTTGTAAGTTCAAATGTAGACGATGTTGTCAGGAGATAGGTCCCCTTAGAGCCACTCTCCCCCTGAGCTTTATCCTGAGGAATCATGGAGTAGGAGACCCTGGTGACCCTCTGAATCTCTCCAATCCCCATGGGGAAGTGCAACCCACTTGGGCTTGAGTGTCCCTGGAAAGGTAATATTGGGTTGGCATTCATTTATTGAGAAGAAAATTCTCACAGTTAGGTCCATATGTTAGTATTATTGCTGATCAATGTTCAAAATGATTGGAGATGAAAACACCGGACAGCCGTCCTAAGTAGATGTAGCTGAGAGGGAGGGGAGAGATGCGAACAGCAGAAATGAGAGGAGATCAGCTGGCGCGGAGCACGAGGGATGGGGACCGCTCAGTACTGCCCACTCACTAGACTTTGTCCTAGACACTAAAACTCTACCTGCAAAACAACTGCACCAGTAATTTTATTTAATATTCAGTATTATCAGAGATAATAAGTTGTATTGTTATTGTTTCACCAAATGCACAGCTATTCAACAACGACTTTTATTTCCTTAATTGTCTGTTTTACTGTAGGGTGGTATTAGTATTAATACGGGGTCGGTCGTGCCGGCATTATGTACCCAGTGTCCAGGTGAGGGCTCTGACACCCAGAGAAGTGGCTGCATCATGCTTTATATCCCTAGGAAATCGCAAATGATAGATCTTTCAAAGTGTGCCAGTCCA